TGAATTAATTCTAACTTATTACTGGCTCTATTTCCTTTAGAAGGGAAAGGTCTCTTTGTCATTTTACCTTCTAAACAAGATTCAAAAGTTGGTAGTGCCTCCACTTTCAATGAACTCAAAGGTCCATCTGTAACCAATCGTGAAATCCTATTTATATTAATATGACATAGACGTAAGTACCATAAATAAGTTGGACTCAATTGAGAAATACATTTTCTTTTATTCGAAACAACAATGTTATTTAGTGCAGTTTGTTGAAGCATGTTATGGAAAATTTCAAACACAAATAAATCATGTATTTTGGGAGCACTATGGATAAAAAAGTTATTATACTTAATAACATCAGAGTTATTCGCATAGTGATTATCATAACCATCATCCATTAGTTTAGAAACAAACAATAAATTCCTTCTTATAGAAGGAATATATAAAACATTATTCAAAACTAAAAGTATGGAACTACTAAATGAAAACGAAATTATTCCAACAGCTAAGACTGGTGCCAGCTCCCTATTCGCTTGAAAACACTAACTTCATCCTTATTTAGCGGCCTTATTTCCTGAAACCCCTGCAAAGAAGTGCAAATTTGATCAGTGGCTCCCGAATCTACAGCCCATAATTGGGTAGAAATATCCGCTAAACAGGTTTCAACGACATTTAAAAAAGTGTTACCTTTGTTTTTCATTTTAGCCTGAAAGTCGGGGCATTACTTTTTACAGTGTCCAGGCTGCTTACAATGAAAGCACTTGCCTTTTGGGTTAGACACACCATCCTTAGCACTCCGGGTGTCACAGTCTGGCGGGGATTTTTCTTTTTCTTCTGGATTTTTGCTTGTTTTGAAAAGGACGGCCCAACCTTGTCAACCAGGAATGCCGCAGGAGCTTGCTGCTTAATTATAGTCTCTGCCGCTTGCAGCTCATTCAACAATTTCGCTAAAGACATGTCCATCTTATTCATATTATAGTTTAAGAGAAACTGTTGAAAACTGTCCGGCAAAGTCTGAAGGATCATCTCAACTTGAGATTCCTTATCAATTTCAGCACCAAGTATCTCCAGCTCATTCAAGTAACTTATCAACTTCAACACATGTTCACTGATGGAAGATCCTTCAACCATTTTTGTGGTCAAAAGGGATTTCATGGCAGTCTGTTTTGCAGCACGATTCTGCTCACCAAACATATCCTTAAGAGATGCGAGCATATCGTAAGCAGATATCATAGACTGATGCTGATGCTGGAAGACATTTGCCATTGAGGCAAGAATGTAACATCTTCCCATCTTATCAGCCTTAACATATTTGTCATAGGCTTGGAATTCCCCATCAGTAGGATCTGCTGATTTGATAGGACATTCCTCAACCAATACAAATTTATAACCCTAAAAAATTAGGACAGTATCTAAATTTCGTTTCCAATCAACATAGTTTGGACCGTCAAGTTTTTTTTGATTCAAGATTGAGGACATGGGATTGAAGTGAGACATAGTTAATCTGAGAGAGATAAAATAGATTATTAAGTATACTTGCTATATTTTAAAAAAAAACACTACAAGACTCATATAATCATGTTTATAAACAGTTAGATTCGATAGGGAAACTTAACTATTCAAGCAAATATATGAGCATGTTTAAATATAGTAGCAGTTAAGCAAAACAAGTCCAACTTAGTTAGAGAGTATTTTGTTTAAGTATAACAAGGTATATATGTATATAGCTTATGTCTCTTGTTCATTGAATCAACATGTAACTTAGTTGGAAAGTTTTAAACAAGTAATCAAAACAAAAGACATACCAAAACAATATCAAAATATACAAGTTTATCCGAAGAGGAAGATGATCTAAGTCAACATATAAACTCATATATTTACTGTAAAATACATTTATAAGTGTTAGGGATGAACCCTTACACCACTAGATTACTAAAAATAATTTTTAATTTTTTTTTAATCTTTTGAAAATAGAGAAATGGCCAAAAACCCATCAAAACGACCCCGAATGGCAAAAAAAATCCCTCAATCACAGCTGAGCAATAAGTATTGCTCACTGGGCCGTTTCCAATCAACCAACCAAAGTTGAGGCTAATCGGAGTTCGCCAGAAAAAAAAGACTTGTCAGGCCAATGACATGCTATCCGTTTTCAATTTTTTTTTCACAGTACTTTAATAAATATTCAGAATCCAAACAATATTTAAAAGACTTAAAAACCTTACTCTAAAACTATTAATTCAAGGAACATGAATCATGAATTCATTTTATACATTCGGTTTTCAAACTCGAATTATAAACAATGATTTATTTCAATCTCATTATTGAACAGAACATCAAATCATGAATTCATAAACATAAATTAACTTATTTAAGAAACAACGAATTCATATATTAAACAGTAACGCATAATGATATAGACATTCAATCAATCATGAATTATCTTATTACATTATTTAGTATATGTAAGAAGGCTCTGATACCATTTGTTAGAATATGCACAACGGAAGCTATATTCAGGATCACAAATCTTACATGTAGACTAAACAATATAACATGAACGAATTTAGAAGAAGTCTAACCTGTTGAAACTTCTACAAAAGTCGTCTAGATGCCAAGGATCTAGAGCTACGATCTTCTCCTATTTCCTGATTGTTACTAACAAGTTACTTGTGTGGGCAAGTATTACTTGTTTTAAATGATGATTTATTTCATGCCACATCCAGCCTATTTATACTAGTTTCCAACTCAAGAATGAATAGGAAAAATCAAATAAATTTTAGCCTTAATGAGCAATCAAGAGGATCATTCAAAATGAGAATAAATTGAGATTAATACTAAAAAACGTTTTCATCTATTTAAGGCCAAACTTTTTTGTCATTAACTCAATATTTGACTCTCAAATTATTCATCCTTTAAAGAAGATCAACAATAAAATTAATTTGTCCTTCTTTTCAAACTTGGTCAATTAATCAGGCATAGTAGGGACCGTAGATATATTTAATAGAGGCTTCCAATTACGACAATAATTCTGAAATGAACTAATTAACCATATCACAATAAAGTACAAATTATTTCACTAAAAATATGTAATTGCACTCCTCGATTTAATTTCGAAATCTACCACTACATCTTATTTAACCCCCATGTTAGAATTATCGACACCAATCAATTAAATCAAATTTTATGAAAATTTAATTCATTGACTAAATTAATCCTTTATTATATTTACTTAACTTATTTCACATGACGGATATAAAATCCACCTGCAGGGTTTGCACATGAAAACTTATAAGTAACCATAAAGGGGTGTCTTCAACTCGGGACCGAGACACGGTTCTATCAACTAATTATTATTTCACTAATGTAATTTGTCATTATCTAATCTATTAGGAATTTATTGACTCATAAAAAAGTCTCCCTTTTAATAGATTAAAACAATAAAATAAATTACATAGATCATAATAATTATATCAAGATTAAGAGTATAAGTACATGTAGTGGACTAGAGAATTTATTTATAAATATTTAAAACATAAATAAATGTCTCTAATTGGTCCGTTCAATACATACAAAATGTACTAGCACAAAAAGTTGGAATTTAACCATTCTCATAATTAAGATCAAATTATATTTAATCTTGTGCTACGATCATCAAGATGTTCGTCCTACTTCATCTTTGATCGTGAACATAAATTTATAACTTATATGCACCGACAATTTTAATCTTCCGTGTATGAGTGAATACTCCATACACAAAATTGTCTACTATATAAGCAATGGACACACATATATAAACAATGATCTATTTAGACAAAGATTTTATTATATTAAACAAATAACATAAATTTTTTTACAAGGGATTAAATAAAATTTACTATAACACAATTACATGGTTAATAGTATATCCCAACAATATACTCCTCACTTTGTTATTTAGAAGTGATATACCCCTTTTTACAAAATTGGCTCACATATTCCCTATCTTTACACAAGTGACTGACATATACCCTTACTGTTACACAAATAGCTCATGTATACCGCTACCGCTACAAAAGTGGCTCATATTTAGCCTTTAATCTAATGGAATTAAAAATATAATTTTAAATGTATTTTTTTATTTTTTAGTTTAAAAAATTATGTAGGGGTATATATGATCCTTTTTATACACATTTTTTTTTACTTCTTTGATTATCATTATTTCAGTTTTTTATTCTTATTTTATTTCATTCTTTAGTGTAGAAATATGAGGAAAAAAGTGTGCATGAAAAAAAAAAAAAAAAACAGTAAGAAAATATTTAAAATTAATTATTTTTTTGATATATTGTATTTGTAAAAAATATTTGGGGTTATATATGATAAATTTTATAAGAAACTTAGTGAAAAAATAAATTTTAGCATCAAAATGATAGATCCAAATTAGCCGTTGAATAAAAAAACAAAAAAAAAAAAATGTGTGAGAAGTATCAGATATAGCTTTTCATGAATATATTTTTTTTAAATTGATTTTTTACTTCCATTAGAGGAAAATGGTATATCTAAGTCATATGTGTAACAATATGAGTATATATAAGTCACTTTTATAATGAGCGGTATATCAACTCAACTCTAAATGACAATTTTGAGGGGTATTATTAGACCATTTTCCCTTTGTATGAACACTGTGACAAAGAAAATTGTCCCCTCAGGTCCCACAAAAGAAAAATATGAGAGACTTTGAGTGCATGGTACAGGATATTTGACTATTGAGCACTTTTCAGTTTTCACCTACAATTTGTTGTTCTAAAAGTTCACATTCTCAAGTCTAAACCAAAACACACTCCATAGTAAGAAATTGACACTAATAGCTAAAAGACTTGACTGACTTTCACTAATTGATCTAAACCAAACAACACTCCTAGTGTAATGTATAGAATGAATTAAATAGGTCTTCTAAACATCATTGCTTTGCATTATCAATTCTTGTTTTAGCTCAACAAGGTATATAATTAAAAGAAACCTTGTTGACATATATAGTTATGGGCAGAAGTTGCATTGTCCTCTTTGGTCTTGTAGTTTTCATTCTGCTTCATAACCAAACTTCACTTGCTACTGTTCCTAATATTAGCACTGATGAAGCTGCTCTTTTTGCACTGAAATCACACATTTCTTCTCATCCTAACAACATCTTAGAAAGCAACTGGTCTTCGTCCAGCCCGGTTTGCAGCTGGATTGGAATCACTTGCAGCTCCCGCCACCATCGAGTCTCTGCTTTAGACATTTCTAGCATGCAACTTCATGGTACCATTCCTCCACACATAGGAAACCTCTCATTTCTTGTTTCCCTCAGGATCAATTACAACGCTTTCCATGGAAATTTGCCAGCAGAGTTGGCTCATTTGAAGAGGTTGAAATTGATTAATGTTAGAAGCAATAACTTCACTGGAGCCATTCCATCATTTTTGAGTTTGTTACCAAACCTACGCATTGTGTCCCTCTGGAGCAACCAATTTTCGGGGAAAATTCCATCTTCCCTTTTCAATCTAACAAAGCTGCAAGTGTTGAGTTTGCAGAGTAATTTTCTCGTAGGAGAGATCCCTCGAGAAATTGGTGATCTTCGTTACTTGACTGTCCTAGACTTGCAATTCAATCAGCTTACTGGCCCTATACCACCATCAATATTTAACATTACGACAATGCGAGTGATTGGTCTTACCAACAACAATCTTACTGGAAAGCTTCCAACAACTATATGTGACCATCTTCCAAACTTGGAAGGGCTTCAACTCTCAAGCAACTCCTTAGATGGAGTTATTCCACCAAACCTTGAAAAATGCAGAAAGCTTCAAAGATTGTCATTGTCGTACAATGAGTTTATTGGAACTGTACCAAGAGAGCTAGCAAACTTAACGGCTCTTATAACATTATTTCTTGGACAACAACTACACTTGGAAGGTATATAGTATGATATTTCCTTACAACATTATATGTAAAATTTTCTTCCTAACTGGTAATATTTCAAACAATTGACAGGAGAGATACCTGTGGAGCTAGGTAATCTTAAGAAACTACAGACGCTGGGATTAGCCGAGAATGAGTTTACTGGTTCGGTCCCTACAAGCATTTTCAACATATCAGCACTGCAGGTCCTAATACTTTCACTAAACAAGCTTTCAGGTACTCTACCTTCAGATTTAGGTCGTGGAATGCCGAACCTAGAAGAATTTTACTGTGGAGGAAATAATCTGAGTGGTTTTATCTCTGATTCAATCTCAAATTCTTCGAGACTCAGAATGCTTGATCTCTCATTCAACAGTTTCACAGGTCCAATTCCTAAATCACTCGGTAAATTAGAATACCTTGAGGCTCTAAACTTGGGAAACAATAGTTTTATCAGCGATTCAACATTAAGCTTCCTTGCATCATTGAATAACTGTAGGAATCTAAGAAATCTCTGGTTCTATAATAATCCTTTGGATGCCATTTTTCCGGCATCTGTTGGTAATTTCTCCGATTCCTTGCACGGTTTTGAAGCAGATGGTTGTAAACTTAAGGGCATGATTCCCCGAGAAATTGGTAAACTTACTGGTTTGACAAAGATGAGTCTATCTAACAATGAGTTCACCGGATGTATTCCAAATACCATCCAAGGCATGTTGAGCCTTCAAGAACTTTACCTAGATAAAAACAAGATAGAAGGACCCATACCAGATGATATGTGCAGTTTACAGAATCTTGGTGCATTGGACTTGTCACAAAATAAATTTTCTGGTTCCGTGCCACCATGCTTAGGAAAATTTACCAGTTTGAGGATACTTCGTCTAGATTACAACATGCTGGATTCTAGATTACCAGAAAGCTTGGGGAGCCTTAAAGATCTTTTAGAATTTAGTGTTTCATCCAATTTATTAAGTGGCCAAATTCCATTTGAAATTGGTAATTTACAGGCGGCAACAATCATTGATTTGTCAAAAAATAATTTTTCTGGTAAGATTCCTAGCACTCTAGGGGGTCTAGATAAATTGATTTATCTTTCTCTGGAACATAATAGACTAGATGGGCCTATTCCAAATTCATTTGGCAAAATGTTGGCATTGGAATTCTTAGATTTGTGCTATAACAATCTTGTTGGTGAAATTCCGAAGTCATTAGAAGCTCTTGTGTCTCTCAAATACCTCAACTTTTCATTCAATAAACTAATTGGACAGATTCCCACTGGTGGTCCTTTTTCAAACGCCACAGGTCAATCCTTCTTGTCTAATGATGCACTATGTGGTGATGCCAAGTTTAATGTGACAACATGTGTCATCCAAACACCCAAGAGGAAAAAGGCTAACTTAGTTTTGTACATCAGTTTGGGTGTGGGTCTGTTACTTCTTGTATTAGCCCTTGCATATGTATTTGTAAGATTACGAAAGACAAAAAAGAATACAGGTCAAACAAATGTGTCTCCGTTAAAAGAGCATGAAAGAATTTCCTATTATGAAATTGAACAGGCAACAGAAGGATTCAACGAAACAAACTTGCTTGGTATTGGGAGTTTCAGCATGGTCTACAAAGGGATACTTAAAGATGGTACCCTTTTTGCAGCAAAGGTATTCAATGTGCAATTGGAGCGTGCATTCAGAAGTTTTGACATAGAATGTGAGATACTCCGAAACCTTCGCCATAGAAATTTGACCAAAGTCATCACCAGCTGCTCCAACCTTGATTTCAAAGCCCTAGTGTTGGAATACATGCCCAATGGGACACTTGATAAATGGTTATATTCTCATAACTTATTCTTGAACTTGTTGCAGAGATTAGATATAATGATAGATGTTGCATCTGCAATAGACTATCTCCACAATGGTCATTCAACAGCTGTGGTGCATTGCGACTTGAAGCCAAGCAATGTCTTGCTAGATCAAGAAATGGTTGGTCATGTCAGTGATTTTGGCATTTCAAAATTGTTAGGTGTGGGGGAGGCTTTTGTTCAAACAAGGACAATTGCAACCATTGGATATATTGCTCCAGGTATAGTACAACTTTTCAAAGTTTTCTCATATCGTTTAAATACTCAAAACAATTCTTCCTCCCCTAGATATAAATGGATTTTCTATGTTTTTCGCATATTCCATTTTTACTAGGAAACTTTTATAATTGTGATTTCAGAGTATGGACAAAATGGAATTGTATCCACAAGCTGTGATGTTTATAGTTTTGGCATCATGATGATGGAGATGTTCACAAGAACAAGACCAAGTGATGAAATATTTATTGGAGGCTTGACCATACAACGTTGGGTTAGTGATTCCTTTCCAGGTGAAATTCATAAGGTGGTGGATTCTAATCTGGTACAGCCAGGGGATGAGCAAATTGATGCAAAGATGCAGTGCTTGTTGTCTATCATGGAATTAGCTTTGAGCTGCACTTTCGTGACACCCGATGCAAGAATTAGTATCGAAAATGCACTTTCAACACTGAAAAAGATTAGGCTCCGGCTTGTCAGTAGTTGGCACTAGCTGGTGGAATTGGACCGGCTACTCTTGTATGCTATTTGATTAACTATGCCAGTTACATTAAACTTTCAATTTTGCTAAAGTACTTAAGTGTGTTTATTCAGGGTTGTATGAAGCAACTCGTTTCTTGATATATATGTAGTTTTAATGATATATGAAAGCCAAAATGAGAAATATATGACTAAAAAACGTAGTAATTGCCTGTGAAATCAAAGGGAAACAAACAGACAAAAAGATCTCAACAACAAAGAGAAATGGATCTCTAAATCCCTCAAGAGAATCTATAACATGAGTTAATACATCAAAATCACTTTACATGGCAAAAAAGGATAAACAGATTTATCCTTTTTCAATTCTGGTTAGTTCGACTGGAAATATGTCGAGAGAACAGGTTCTTTAAACTACCACATTTTATGGTAGAAAGCTTGGTTCTCCACTCTTGGATGATAACTTGCCAAACAAGATCTGAATAGCAACACATTGGTGTTTTATATAAAAGAGGACAGAAGTAGAGTAATTAATAATGTGATATCATGTAGGTTGCTTTCACGTGACCATTTTGATTTTGTAAACATTTTTTAGCATTTGTTACAACTAGCTAGCTTGCTGAGCTGATGACTGATTTTTGCCATATGCAGTGGTGACTTTCTTTAATTCATGTCGGATGAATAGAGTTCGTATGCAGTGGTGCCAAGAGGTGTGTGATATATATCAACCACCACAAGGGGTGTTGTGGGATAGATGAGATCCCTCCATCCTTAACTAAAGGTCTCGGGTTCAAGCGTGAAAATGGAGAAACCCTTGATAAGGAGAGATAAACCCTTACAAAGGTCCTCCAAGATGCGAATCTGGATTACTCAGGCTGGTGTGTCCTGCAGGATACTAGCTAGATGGTTATATATAAAAGAATAAAAGAGGCGTGCGTGTAATAATGTGTGATACAAGTTTATTAAAGTGTAGTTGTATTTGTAAAAAAGAAAGGGAGAAAGCATAGAAAGTTTGCACTTTCTTAACATGCCCTGAGGAACAAAGAATCTATGCATCAAAAACAGTGATATAAAAACAATACTTTTGTGTCTTTATTTTGCCAAGGTAGTAATTAATTTTGTACCATCTGACTAATGGTGGCAAAAAAATGCAAGTTCTTGTCTGTCTTAGTTGAAGATGAAGGTTAAAATAGGCAATCTTAGTTATCCTAATTTGCTGCCCGTGATAAATCCTTAATTTGAGTAGAAGATACTATCTCAATCAATATATATAGAAAGAATGAATCAGAGGAATCTTGTTCGTTTACGAAATTATTTGCTTTTGAAAGGACTTAAAAATTGTTCTTCTGTCATCATTTTCTTGGACTCATCAATCAATCATCTTGACAATTATTCACTACTTGATTGATCAATTGCATATTTAACGAATGTATATACATATTGAAGTCGAGCCATTTGCATTTGACTATTGGTGTGTAACAAAGAATGCTAACTTGTACTATGTCTGAAAAACTAAAAATGGTAGTATAAATCATTGTTTTTGCATTATCAATTGTAGTACTTATGGGCAGAATTAAGTTGTAATCTTCTCTTCACTCTTGCAGTTTTCATTCTACTCCACGACCATACATATATCACTTGCTACAGTACTGTTCCTAACTACAGTACTTGTTGCTTCGAGATCTCACATTTCTTCTCATCTTAGCAAGCAACTGGTCTTCTTCAACCACAATTTGCAGATGGATCGGAATCACTTGCAGATCCCGTCACCATAGAGTTATAACTGCTTTAGACATTTCTAGCATGGTACCATTCCTCCACATCTTGCAAACCTCTCATTTCTCATCTCCCTTGACATCAGTGACAATACTTTCCAGAAGAGTTTGTGGAGATTGAAATTGATTAATGTCACAAGCAACGTACAACTTCACCGGAGCCATTTTTGGGGAAAATTCCAACTTCTTTTTCCAATCTAACAAAGCTGCAAGTGTTGAGAAATCGGTGATCTGACTGTCCTAGACCTGCAATTAATATATATAATCAGCTAGCTTACTGGCTCCATCGATCTTTAACATTACTACGTACAGTGCAAGTGATTGCTCTTACAGGTAACAATCTTATAACTGGAAAGCTTCCAATTATAACTATACGTGATCATCTTCTAAACTTGGAAGGGATGAACTAGACTTGTAGTGTCCATAAATCTCATAAAAAGTACCTAAAGATTCATAGTGAACTTCAATGGGAGTTTCTCTTGAAGCAATAACGCATTGATCTAGTCGCCACCTGAGCCACAAAGGACTGTCTAAATTGATTTGTTTCTGCCGATAAGCCCCAATTGCATCATAAGAAGTAGAAAAAAGGGTTCTTTCATATACTTACCCTAGATGGAGTTATTCCACAAAACCTGGAGAAATGCAGAAAGCTTCAAGTCTTGGCATTGTCATTCTTGAAACTTTACCAAGAGAGCTCGCGAACTTAACAGTTGTTACAAAATTATCTATCCCAGCTCTGCATTCCTTACAAGAGATAAAACTTTCCTCCTTTTCTCTCTTCACCAAACTTGTACTACTCATATATTGTATTTTCAACATCTTAGCACTGCAAGTAAGATACATTATTGAATGCGTGAAATGCAGTCATGGTCTCTTGCTATATATATGTGAACACTTCTTGATCCGACAATAATTTTCACAGAAAATTTTAACCTTTTTCATATAATGGTGCAAAAAAGTAATAGATCGATCGAGAAGCTGATAGAAGTGAAGAAGAAGAAAGGGATCAACTACTTTAACTTTAATATATAGAATTTTCATTGTATTTCTCTTGATTTGTATTGCTATTTCAATCAATCGGTTAATGCAAAGTTGAAAATTTGAAGACTTCTCATGCATCTTTTATCATAGTAATTGTTGTATGTTTTAAGTTAAAGTCTTTTGTGTTGCGTATCCACTTCATAGTGTTGTAACATTCGAATGCTTCATAGTGTTGTAACATTCAAATGTTTCATTATAACTTTACAAAAAATAACTATCTTAAATCACATTAGCTTGTTTGTCAAGATCTTAACATTATATCAATTTTATTGTCAAAAGCTATCAATATCTTAGCACTATTTTTATTGTTCCTTAGATTGTGGAGAAGATAGATTTAATTTTTTCTTCTTTTGTTCATCCTCATCTCTTCAACTTAGCCTATATATTGCGATTGTTGCTTTGCCCTTTTACCTTACTCCAGTCTCTAGTAATATTGACTGACCTTATAGCTTATATGTAGTAAATCCATTTTCAGTAATAAACACATTCATTTCAACTAGCCTAAAAATTTTAACAAGTGTTTCATCTGGTGCGGTGAATAAAATTGTTGTATCGTAGATTTTTGTGCTAAATTAAAAAATAACAGGTGAAATGCATTGAGAGAGTGAAAATTATTACTCTACATGATTAGAAGATATAAGTTAAATCTGTTGAGAATATCATTAACTAATAAAAGTGTGCTCTTTCTTAGAGCTTAAGTTTTTAGATGAGATGGTCACACACTTCAACAAAAGAGTTGGACTTATATATTCATTAAAAAATCTCCCACTTTCGTCAATCGACATCATTAAGATACAAACATATATTTATTCATTCTTGTCCATCAAATGAACATGATGAAGAAGAAGGCCACAAAACTAATTAAGCAGAAGCCCAACAAAGGGCTAGTTTTGGAAGGTGGATCTCAACCTATACATTAATTAAAGCAAAATATTGGTATCTAACTAAACTAATTGTACTATTAATGAACTCACAATAGCCACAACCTGACTTGCCTTCCAAAATGAATTAGTTCCTATATGTCACATCCAGAGGTTAGACATGAGCATTGAACCTTTTCATTCCTCGAGATTTTTCCTGGCATATATATATATATATATATCCATCGGAACAAAGCGTCCTGTTTCAAAAAAAGAGTGTTATGCTGTGGTATAAAAAGTTAAGGACAGTCTGCTGCGCTAAAGATCCCGTTATGTTATGCTATACATATATCAATCCGAGCATAATTAAAAACACAAAAATTAACTGAGTGAAGCAGGAAAAATACCCTAAATTTGTGTCTTGTATACGTCAGACAATAATAATCTATTGAATATGCTAGAGCATTTGGAATCATAGTACTCGTTATCTTAAAGGCTTTAGCATTCTTTGTTTATATATCTATTTATTGTTGCTAAAAATTGTTCTTTTGTTATAGTGTTAGAACATAAATATCTATATTGGGCACAAATATCGTAAACCAAAAAATTAGACCGAATTAATTCGGTTCTTTGGTTTGATTCTCGGTTTTAGGGTCCGGTACTTCGGTGCACCCAAGAACTGAAGTATCCTAACCTTTTTTCTTTATCATACAGCAATGACGACTAATGCATGACCATCTTATCAACTAAATTTTGCAACAAATGTCTTGGACTGTCACTGATATTGCCCTGATTCCCCATTACGATTTTCTGGATTAGTTATACTACTAACTTGATTACAGGAGTAAGTTACTTCAATTTATTTAGGAGAAACTTAGTAATTAGGGATACCTACTTCATTATCATATATACAATTATTACTTATGCTTTCAAAATATTACATATTAGTATATTATTAATTTAAGAGTTTTCTATCATATATTGAGAAAGATACATCTAGAATTCTAGGAACATGTATTTTTGTTACCAGATACACTAAAATAGGGAGGAAGCAAGCAAGATTTGTCATGTATCCCAAATACATGTGAATCACACCAGATATATAGGAGAGTGGCAAGCAAGATTTGTTATTTATCCTAGATACATGCGATTCCACTTGGATACGGTGTAATCTAGAACAAACTATACTTAATTTTGATCTCATATATCTTGAGATACATGTATCTGAACATATCTGAATGATGTATCTAGACGCACCAAAATTTAGTAAGATAATTGCATATATGATAATGAAGTAGGTATCCCTAATTACTAATCTTCTCCTAAATAAATTGATTAGA